TGAAAAATTATGCAATCTCGTCGCGTTGTCAGCGCTGTCGCGAACGAACGAACGCGCGTAACGAACGTCGGCAATCACCTTGGTCAGATAAATTTTGATTCGCGCGAAACAGAGAGTTTTAAAACGCGAGCCGAGGAAAAAGCAAAATCGTGTCAAGTAAATCACAAAAATCGACCTACATTTCGAAGTTTGAACGGGGAGATATGTTATTTGTCATGGCGGCTGTGAAAACTCTACACCTGTATTTCCCGCGCTGTATTTTCGTGCGAAGAGCCAATCCTTTCCGCTTTCATCGTGCATTTTGAGATTCCACATAAAAGCGCGATAAACCTTGACGCGAGCAAAAGCCGCGGAAGTGGACGTGGCGAAGCTGATTGTATGTGTGTGTGTATGTGTGTGTGTGATACAAGTAGTTGGTTCGACTTATGAAAGGAAATGAATCGGAATATCTCTGAATCTAAATACCGAAGATATACGAGGATAGCGAAGCGATGGTACGTCTACGCGTACAATATAAAACCTTTTCCTTTGGCAACCTCATGCTAGATATTAAGGATACAAGGATACGTGTATTGCACCTTTTTATGTCACTAAGTCTTCTTTTAAATGTAAAGCGTATCGGATATACGCATGGTTAGGTACAGTCTGGAGTTGTAAATATGAACAAGATACGCGTGCATATACGATATTAAATAAAATTTATTGAAACGAAATAACGAATCGAACGTTTTCTATAGAAAAAATTTAGAAAATTTTGCACTACGGTATGTAGACACTGTATAAGTACAATGGCGTGTCAATAGGTTGTATACCAATTGTAATTTCTATCACTGTATCGAAGAAACATTTAGAAGTTTACGCTATTGAAGATAATTCTATATTTAACCGCGAATAAAGTACATTGAGCTACGTTTTGAGAGCAAACTTTCTCCCATGATAAAAGTACGAATTTCTGAAGAGAATGGGAGAAAGTGAAATGGGATTACGGAATTACGTTAAACGATCGATCATCTGTCGAGTATCGTTGTAGCAGATCAAGCGTAAACGTTTCAGTGACCCAACGTAGTTTGCAGTTAGGACATCGGCCAAGATCCTCCAGCACCGACTAGACACTGATTCAACCCCTTTGAGCTTTGGACTCACCGGCGGAAGAGCCCTTTGCTTTCCGACGATGAAATTGGAATTTGATCGGCCGCCATGATATCTAATAACCCCGTCGCCTTATTTATCGACGTACAGAAATCTCAACTGCGACGGCTTCAGCCAACCAAAGAATTCTCCAGGCATCGTCTCTCCGGTTTCTTTACACAAACACACCGTTCTTCGTTGAAGAGTGGAGATTGCTCGAATTACTTACAGGATCATATCGTGAATATTGACCAGTTCGATACAACTTTGTTTTGCGTTAAAAAGATACTCCAAAAGTCGAAATTAATTATTTCGATGCTTTTGATTTCTTCCACTGTATTTCGCGTGAAATTCATATCCTCTCTCGCTAGAAACGAACTTTTTCTATTTTTTGGACAATTAACATCGTTCGGCATTTCGATCGCTTCGCGATCCTGGATGATCAAAGTTTGCCGATTAATTACCCGCTGATACGTTAATGCCATCGATTTCTTCGTGCTATGCAAAATTTTACGTAATATTGCACATGTATATCCGCTGTCCGAACTGCTCGTATAATGCAGGTATTACGCGAAACTTCGTTGACGTGTATCCGCCAGAAGATCCGTGTATGCGCAACGATTTGAGGAAGAGCACGACGACGGGGATGGCGAGACACGGGCCAACGGCATGGAGGGGTGGACCATCCATCATACGGCGGAAACCAGCCGGCACATTGCCGGAAGTGACGTCATGCTTGAAATATCGACTAATAATTTATACGCAGACGTTAGCGCCCGCTCGCGTTTTGCAGGGTTACCTATCCGTAATAACAAACTAACGCCTGCCTGTATTTGTGGTTGCCGAACGTGCACACGACGCGTGAACACACATTCGGGGATCGTAGCTTTCGTACCCTCGATGTTCTCGAGATGTTCTCGAGTGCGCGCAACTTTTGATATAATACGTATGAATTTTTTAGATTTTATATCGTATACGTAGAACATTCGTTTCCTTCGTTAATCTTCCGATAATAAAGCAATTTTATCAGACAAAAACGCAGCAGTCGTTTCGACAGCGTTACTTAGATAATCCTATCGATACAACGAATGCATCGATAGCGGTAAATGCGTTAAAGAGTTGACTCGATGTGAATTAGGAAGAAAAAACTAAAACGGAAGATGAAAGATGAGTAGACAGAGAGAAAGAAAAATATATCCTATCCTATATATGATGCAAAAATTTCGCGATGAATTATTATCTATTATATAGACGGCCCAGCAATTGTAAACGAGAGGACGTGAATTTTTTCTGAAAATAGATCGACGTGAGCGACGTCTCTTTGCTCGCATCATCTGTTCGCTTATGCGATATTGAAAACTATCTGCCGATTTGTATAGGATAGACGGAACGTGGTATATTCAGGCTCATCATTCGATCCATGATGCAAAGGACATCGGTGACATTCTTTTTGTCAAAAGCATTTTCAGCACTATCGGTATTCGATCGCAAAATCTGAAATTCGACAGCTGCCACTCTTCGCGTATCTCTGCTACGTGATAGAAGATAGTCTGTATTTAACTTACGTGTAAAGAAAAATACTGTCAAGTATTGGATAGTAGCAGCAAGGTATGCTATCACGATCTCGAAATAGTGGAATTTTTGATAAATTATCTTTGTAACGTGCAACATAGTAAAATATTACACTATCGACATATGTTACACGTAACACGTACGACAAAACGTAGAGTGATTTAAATCATGCGAAGGGCCGATTGCCAGTGGAAAAAATGGTACAAGGGTATTTTATTTCGAAAACAAAGTAAATATCTACAGAAAATGATACATTAGATCTAGATCCTTGGATCATTTATTTCGAGAATTTTGCTGCGAATTCTTTTTTTTATGACTACGTATAATAATATGTTTTCACTTTCCAATTGTCATAGCTTCCAACAGATGTCAATTTTTATTTATCTTGTAACATAAGCGTATTGTTCTACGTTTATACGTTCCAGCGATTAGTTCAATACACGTTGTGTCATACAACGTGTAAATATATTACGTTGTGAACAGCTGTTTTGTCTTTTTATCATTCTCATCGTTTACCATTTCAGCTGCTCGATTACGAATTCAGTGAATGCAAATAATACTACAAATAGTTAATTCTGTATTTTGTTCGATTAATTAGTTTCCCGTACTTGTATAAAAAGCTTTGGCTGAACTTACTTCAAGATTGAAATTTCTCGCACGAACCTTTGCAAAACCGTTGTTGACAAGTAGGACCCGTCACAGCATATTCGCCAAATGCAAAATGAACGTTTTTTGTGATCAAACTGAAACTCATAGAACACGCAATGTCATATGGCTAGTTATATCAAGAGTTTGTAAGAAACCTTCTGAATTTCTGACTACTAAAATGCTAACAAAAGTATGTATCTTATTCTGATTCTGATCTTCTTCGGATTCTAGAATCATTCGTATCAACAATTTCCTACAAATAATAGATACAATAACGAAATAAACGAAGTGAAACGAACGATCCACGATCAAAATTCTATTTAATTGTTTCTTACTCGTTGCTAGAAACGTATTCAAAGCAGATAGATCGCTGAAGCGTGTCTGTGAAATTTACATACCGTTAGCTTTTATCAATAAATATGTCACACATATTCGTCGTTAGCCATTTTTCTATTCCATTCGAGTAAAAACTTTTCACGAATAATTACGCAGGAATTTACGTTAGAAAATGTATGGATGAAAAGCGAACGATCGAAAGTTCAACGATCCCTGGCAAGAATCGAATAAAACGAGGCCTCGCATCGAATACACGAAACGCGGGCTCTCGTTGCCCGAATAAATAACGCGCGATCGAACAAAGTTCGACAAGCGTTCTCGAGCGCTCGTTCGTCTCGATGGCCAATCTAACGAGCATCGTTTCAAAAAATTACATACCGAATCCCATCGGTTAATTGAACGAAAGCACTCTCTGCTCTTTCACCTCTTCACGGTGGAAACGCAAAATTCACGTTTTTAACCGTCCCTGATGAATAAACAGGAGCGGATGACAGTCGCACCATCGAACGTGGAAATTTCACCGAAAAGTACTAACGCGAATCACGCGATCCTCGTTATCGATGAGAATCGGAGAAACAAATTTACTTCGGTCCGAATGCGAAACTGAGCCACGCTGCCGTTGGAATCTTAGAAACGCGCGCTGTCGTTTGGGCGCTGTTCGCGATACTCGAAGAGCAGGAAATAAATATGAAAAAGAAGAAAAAAGACGAGCAGCGGGGGCAACTGGTTCGGACCTTCTGCAAAGTAAGGGTGAAGAAAATGGGGTCGATGCGCGAACCGATGTTACCCCGGCTGGCAAATCTCTCCTCCTTTTCAGCATCCGGCGTCGGGGTAAAACCTGAGAACTCCTTTCGCACTCGATATTCCATATTTCTTGTGACAATTTCTCCCGGTAAATTTATAGACTTCCCTTTCGTCGAGACGTTGCTGGGAGCAGCATGGCGTAGGGACAGGCAAGGAAATCAAGAGAAAGAGGTTGCGAACGAGTCGAGGATAGGAACGAAGGCTGAGAATGACGATCGCGCGAAGAATGGAGGTCGGTGTTAGTGCTCGTAAAAAAGGAGAAGGGTACGGGGAGCGAAGGAAGGAAGGAAGGAAGGAAGGAAGGAAGGCGATCGAATGAAAAGCTTCTGCCGCCTTCTCCAGCTACTGCTCTGTTGCAATGCGATCGGTTATAAAGAGACACGTCGATACGTTTGCGCGCGATGCCCGCCTCTCTGTGTGTACGAGCGTCAGAAGCCCACGTGGATTTACGTAAGTGAACGTTTCGCATCGCTGTATAGATGGCAGCAGCCGGCAGCAGCTGCAGACACACTTCGTGGAACGAAGGGGTTGCAAACCTGCGTTACGGGTTTCGATAGCTGCTTGAAAACCTCCACCAGCCAGTCGTTCGGATTTTGATACACGCTTACCAACTCGCAACTCTTTCTTCCGTATCCGTGAAAAAGCGAAGAGGGACGGAATATTTTGCGTTCCCGTGCAATTTACATTCACGTCGCGATGTCGTCAAGGTTAGTAAAAACGGAGAAAATGAGCGATCCCTTCCGAGAGAGAAATCTGAAAATGATCGAATGCACGAGTGCCTCGTAACGAAAGTTTGCATTTATGAAGATTATTTTCCGATACTCGGCAACTAATTAATCATTAATTAATAAGCGTTAATCAAGTAAATTCGCGTTAGAATGTTAAAATATTCGTAGACCAATATGTTTTCCGATTCATCGGAGGATCGATGATTATTCGTTTACCTTTGCGTCGATACCCGACAAATAATATAATTTATTAAGCGTATCAAGGTAATTAAGAACGTCGAATCGCTTCTTCTCTGTGTTAAGAAGAAAAAAGTAATTTCCTTGGATTTACGTCGGCAGGACGGACACCTGCAGCGAGTGCATTGAATCGCACGTGAGCCGCAATTCTTCTCGAAAATTAAGCCATCCTGGATAGACAATTGGGTATAAAGGATAGCGAAATGGACTATCGGGCGATCGGAGGAACGGCGCTCAACGCAGCTGGAAACATTGTCGTAGGCGAGAAGAGGTGAACGTTGCTCGTATCCGAATGTCGAGCGCAGGTGTGGAAGGAAACAATGCGGTATCGTGAACGGGTCGCAAATCGACTTATCTCCACTCGGACACAAGAGCATCGGTGAACAGACGCTTTGGAATGCGCTAATCGTGCGAACACGCGCGACTGCCAGGTCGCTCGTAATGCAACCTCTGGTCCCAAGAGTACAGTTTGACAGGTTTGCGTCCCGACGATCGATCTGCCACCAGATCCCCGAATCGATCCGTAGCCCCTCGAAACCCCGTCGTCTCACCGTCAATCTCGCCTTTCACCGCGTTAATTGGATTACGGAGTTTGCGTTGTGCCTTCGTCGCCGAATATATATCCTTCTTCTCCTTTTCACCGTGCAACCCGATCGACGCGGCACAACGCGACGCGACGCGGCATATCTGTTCGCGAATTAAGCAATCGAATTCACCGCGTTCGAGATAATTCATCCCCTCGAACGGTGTTCCCGGTTATTCCGCCACGACTTTTCTTCCTCTTTCTGCCCGCTATAATGCGATTACCAGTTAATGAAAATTCGAACGACCGATAATAACCTCTTCGGTATGGGAATTAATTATGGAAATTCTATGATGCCTACCATGCGAATTATGCTTCCGTACGGATAAAGTGAATGACTTTTAAGGGAGAATTACTTTCAATACCTGTATCTGTGATATAATGTAATGTAATAAAATACGTGTAATATACCGTGATGATCGTAAATGCTTACAATTTCTGCATTGACTTCATGCGAGGTTAACGAAAGACGGATAATTATTTGAAGAGAATATACGAAGAGATTGAATTTGTAAGGCGACTTCACGGTGAATCAGTTTATACTTTTATATTATACATCGTAATAGATCGCAGAGATCGGATTCTACGCGTAAGTCGCAAATAAATGCGGCGATGATCGGTACACGAGCAAAGTCACGGTTAAATGATCGACTTAAATCCAGTTTAGAATAAGTTGCAGGAGACTAAATTTGTGCATCGTGAAGATTTAGATTTGGGTAAAGATCGGACGATAAGTCTCATATTTCGTGCATCACAAAAGAACAATTTTAAACTTCAACATCGAATAACATTGTTCCGTAAAGAAGGGCTGCTCTTTCTAGATATCTTGACATGGTCTTCATGATAATTAAATCGCGTTCAACAAACTCCACTATCGAACAAATAAATCCGATCAATATATATTCCTTTTTTAATTATTTTCATTTCTCCATAATCTTGTGACACGTAAATTAGTCGTTTCAAACTGATTGTCCTGTCTGAAGGGAATTACGCATTTAAGGGTTAAACACCTGCGTCCATAAAGAAGGGTCGCTATTCATAGACGCCGCTGTTTTGCCCAACAAAAGGGAAACCATAGAGGACAAGCAAATTGCACGAGAAAGACGGTGGACCACCGTAAAGAGCGAATCAACGAGCCGAAAGAGACAGACAGGCGGACAGACAACTGGGGGTAGCCGACAGATTCGGCCCAATTTCGGCCTTTGTCGGCACTCGAATCGGCGTGAACGTCCCGAAAATGCAATGCATTCATGCGAGCTCGTCATTATGCGTGCGACATAATGCGCGACTGCATTGCGACTCGGCAATCATCGTCGCGGCACGTCCAGCCTTGTTCTCCGTGCGTCATTCGAATTTGCGAGCGCATCACAACACGGTAGGGCCACCATCGGAGACCGCGACGGGACTTGTACCTGTCTAAATTTAAAGCAAAGCGTACCAAAGCCTACATCCGCGCGCGTGTACCTAAGCATTCGCGGCTAGAACGTTTGTTCTCACAAACAACGCTAATGTTTAGACTAGACTGGCGGAGACAGACTGGTCAGCTATTGGATTTACTTTCGGGGTAGATTTATTCGTGTGGAACGTTTGAGTTAAAGTGGTACGTCGTATGTCCTTATCGTTGGATAGAAATAGACTTTCTTAAGACTCGGTTAATTTGTATAATTAACTGAGAGTTTATTAAAATAGCTGCAAGATGCTTGCGTCGATTATCCCAGTCGAATAAAGAAATGGCACTTGGAACTTTATAGCTTCAATCTCGCGTGTCCTAAAAATGTTTGGCTAAGTGGTTCTTTACGGTTTAACCAAGCGATTAATTTTAATTTCTTTTTGAAACTCGTTAATTGGCGTATAATACGGCAGACACGTTTTATTTAATCTTCCATCTTCAAAGAGAAAAAGATAGGATTTAACGAACAACGAGCCTGAATATAAACATTTTCAAAATTTACTCGCGCTCAGCCTCAAAATCTTAGATCTTAGAAGATAAAATTTCACGAGTATGTAAATTTCGAACCTTGACAATTCTCGTTCAAGTTGCTACTCAGTTGCGTACTTCATGTCTCGCAAAAGTACAAAAGATTGGAATGTCATTAAACAGGAATATTTTCACAGAATCGCTCATTGAAATATTAAAATATTCCTCTGCATGCATACCCGTTGAGGCGTTCGTTTGACGAGAACGAGAGAAGTTGAAATCACGTTTTATCACTTTTATCTAGCCGCAGAGAAAGGAGAAAGGCCTCATTTCCGAAGCAAAAGGAACCGTCCAATCGTTTTCACCGTTTCGATGTAATATTTAAATATTCATCGGCGACATCTTATACATATAAAAGTCTCTCGGCAACATTATCCGAATAGAGAGGTTAATTGCTACTTTGCATAATAATTCAATGAGAGTAAAAGGTTCGTCGCGGTTGTCTCATTCTGATCGTCGGATTCTTGCATCAAATCGGTCGAGAGATTCGAATATCGGAAGAGAGATAATTTTGTCAGAAAAATAGAGAGAATCGAGTCCACTTTCCGAGATTATGGAATCGCTCCTCCATGGATTAAAGCTTATCCATTCGACCGCGTTCAAGATAGATACGTTCCGTCTCCTCGATATGAACTACTGAAATCGATGATTTTGTACAACGTTACATTTTTAAAGCTAACGTTTCATTGAAAATATCGACGAAGGTAATAGGTAATTTTTCAGTAATCTGTAATCAGCAACTTCGATCCTGATTTCTATGTTAATATCAAAGAAGGAATAACACCTTCTTTGTAAACCTGATCTTCAGAAAGAAATATGCGTAAATCTGGATAAACTGTATCGATTGGAATTTGTACTCATAATAATTTTTAGCTCCAAAGAAAAGCAAATAATTAATTTACCCCTGTTACAAGATGAAAAGTTTCTACTTTTTCGTGCGTCGAAACATCCGACGCATAAAACAAACGATCTCCACGCATTAAACTCAAATTAGCTGTTACTTGTTAGCGTCGACTTCTACAAGCCGAAGATCCATTGACGAGCTGAGCCAATCCAAGAGCATATGCTTCGATGTATTTTGAAATTAAAAAATAAGAAAAAAGGATCTCTATCTTCTGAATTTAAATTCGTACTGTCCCACTTCATCTTATTGTTATACTTTCTTCGATCACGTTCATTATCCGCGTTATCCCCTCGCTGATCAATAGCTAACAAAATCGGGGAGTTATCCATTCGATTGTGTACAAAGTTACAGGATAACTCGTCGTCTTTAATTTGCTTTAAAGCCATTCTCCGATTGGAACCGCGTGAATGACCGACAGTACAGAGCTCTCGCTTTGTTCATCTCGTTCCGTTCCAACGATGCTTCGTGGCCGAGGTCTCTAAATCTCTAAAATCGTAAAAACGAACTGACAGAAATTCCTTTACGAGCTATCCTTTACAACTCATTTGGCACGGCCGATCTCTCTCGCCATCTCGACCGACCGAAAAGGTACGGCCTGGTTTTTATTACGAATGCGCCATGCTACGCATAAATAATGTCTGACAGTCACGTTCACAATGACTCGTTAAGGGCCGTTCGAAACATCGACAAAACAGAAGCGTCCAGGGAACGGGGGACGAATTGATCGAACGCGAATCATACCGTTCGAACTGTGAAATGCCAATACACATATGTATGAAGCACGGCTATAGCGCAGTTTGACATTTTACGAAGAACAAACTGCGGAATTTAGACATAAAGCCAGTGTATAATATCTAAACAAAAAAAAAAAGATACATAAAAAAAAGAGAGAAGAGATCAGAAAGAACGAAAGAGGAACACTCGTTTTATACTTGTGTATCAGCTTTTCAAAAATCGCACAGCTGCTTATATCTTTACGTACTTAATAAATAATTAAAAAAATCAACTCATTTTTATACATCAAGTTCTCCAGTATTCTAAATGTTAATCCAACGCAGTTTTCGAAGGAGGAAGAAATTTTAGAAACAAAGATAATCTCCGACTTTCGAGCACCTTTGTTACGGCACAGGATCTGAAGAAATACTTTAAGATCGGCGATGTTTGGGGTAAACGGCTAATGGTGAAATGAGCAGAAAATATTACAGTAGGGGAGCTTTAATGATTCAAGTTACCCTAGTAGCAAAGCCTTAAGCGTGCTGCAAACACCTTTCATTCTTCTTTATCAGCTCGTAATCTTTCCAGCCCAAAGTATCTGACTAGCTATTGCATAATTTTCTCCAAATTTTCGATTCAAAGTATCTCTTTAACCGATAGTAAGATCTTTGGATTTATCCCGATAATATGGATATTTGATATTACAAAGTTTTGATATCATTTTTACTAACGTGCTAATATAAATCAATATGTAACGTAAAGAGAATGCAAAAAGGGGCGACAGCCACTTTTCCAGGAACGTGTAGTGTGTATATACGTGTACGAGCGACAGTATGTAGCAATATAGGTACATGTGTGCCGTGGTAAACCATAAGTACGGTCACGATGGTATCTACACGTGTGCTTCTTAAATATTCAAAGAGAGTGGACGAGACGCGAAGAGAGATAACGCTTTCCTGTCTTATGAAAACACTATTGGAGCAAAAAATCCGACAGTGCCATCTGGACGAAACATCCTTCTGCAACCTAGCTCTTTCAACATGGCCTCTCCCAAATATTTATAATAAGATTCAAGATAAACCTTCCCACATATGACTGTTAATTCCAAGAACACGCATCAGACATATTTTCGTATCGCTTTTATGGATACCTGTTTCCGAAAACGCCGGAACAGATTACTATTTCCGTCCATTCTATTTTCTTTCGGTCCGTACCGCGTTGTCGGTAGTTTTATTCATTCTGTATATTTGTCTTTTCTTCCGTTCTCAAGCACGCGACTATTTTATCATCACACAGATGTGAACAAACGAGCTTGAACACACAGAGCGCGACACATATCTTTGAATAATACTTAACAATGTCCGAACGGCGACTTTATTTGCTCTGACGAAATATTTTTTCGCTATTTGCGAATAAAAAACGAGACAGCCCCGTTTCCCTACGCGAAACACGTATTTGTACGAAACGAAACAAACAAAATAGTAGCAGGTAGGAAAGGAAAAAATAGACCAAAAAAGGAAGACAAAAATTGGAGAAAAATCGTTTGTCAGCGAGATGAAATATCACGCGACGTGATATCGCATTCTTTAAATCTCCCGATGGAAACATAATTTTGAATAAACGGGATTGATTAAAACGCGATTCGACTAACGTGCGATTCCATTCGCGCGCACGACGATAAAAACCGAAGCGACCAGCTCCACGTGTCTCGTCATCGTCAGCTTAAAATTCATTCTGCCTCTTTTACGAGGCTGTAACTAACTTATGGCGTGCCAGCCATCGTGTCCCCCGTCGATGCTGCTCTGTTCCGTAAATATACAA